TATATATATATATATATATATATATATATATATATATATATATAAATATACCTGTTTCGTTAATTAGCCGAATATCGATAAATTATCTAGGATAATCCAAATAATATCTCTATCCAATTAAGATATTGTGTTGGAAGCAATGGCTGATCAAGGAGACACATTCGCATAGCGAAATTCCGTATCAATTAACGAAGCACCTACTGTGTATACATATATGTACTTCTCAGAAGAATTTCATTTCTATAGACTCTCTAACTAACGATCGATATCAGTCGATACTGGTAAAAACGAAAAGAAATAAACGAACAAAAATATCATTTCTATCTCCTTGTTACTCATCATTATTTCTAGCTATACAAATTTCTTCTCGAGCTCTTCTCCCCTCTCCTTTACCCCCTCCACTCCCCTCCACTCCCTCGCAACCGACTCGCCTGACCTTACCTTAGCAGCATTGACATTATTTTCTCTGTTGTCGTCGTCGTCGTCGTCGTCGTCGTTGTCGTTGTCGTCGTGTCGCTCTCTTTCGGTATTTCTTTCCACTTACGTTTCCCCAGTCCGCAATGTCGCCGTCTCCAACTTCCTCCTCGACGTTTTTTCCGTCTTCCTTCTGCCTGCCGATATGTCAGCCTGTTGCTTCGTGCGCTCTCCCTCTCCGTCTTTTTCGTCTTCCTCTCTTTTCTCGATGCACAGGCATCAGCGTCGGGGCAACAGAGTCTCCGCTACCCATTCACGCGGTGCACGTGTCCAGGGTGAATGGCACGTGCACGTCGCGTTACCGTGAGACCGAGACGCGTATATTTATATAATACTAACGTTGTCGGCACGATTATCGCGTACGGCTAACTTACTTACACGTTCGTGCGTGCTCGTACTAGAGATTATTGTAATTTGTCTGCCATCCTTTGATTAAAAGTCCGATTTGGACGAAGATGCGAAGATGATTTAGTTCAAGCGGGGCATCACTTCAAGTTGCGCGAGGATTTGTGCTTTAGAATTTTTGTTTTTTCTCTCTTTTCACTTATTGATCACATTTTTGGGGATTCTTTATTTTTATTATTCTCGATTATTTCTCATTTATTGATTTATGGGTATTCATAATTTTCTTTAATTATTGGATCGTATTTATCTTATTTTTTTTGGGTTTTGGTTACTGTTTTTTTTTTTTTCCTTTTTTTGTCATATATTTTTATTGAATATAGATTTATAGGTTATAATCGATATAATGCTTGATTAGCTGGTTCATAAGGCAAGAATTATCAAAATAGCTTGAAATTTAAGTTAATTAAAAAATCAGTAAATATATTTCTTAAAATTTTTTTTTTATTAAATAATAAAAAATTACGAAAACATAAGTAAAGAGCGAATGAAAATTTAATTACGAAAGAAGAAGTTGAAATGATATATATTAGTCTTTATTCTTAAAATAATTCTATTTTTCAAAAATTCTAATCTTTTATTACTTTTACCATTATAATATATCTTGATCACATATATCTTTAAAGTTTTGTTGTATTTAAATCGAAATTTCAAGTAATTATAAAAAATTTAAAATAAAATTTTAATAAAAGTAATAAAAAAGAAAAAAAAAACTAAGTAAAAAACTTATTAAGCATTTCACATATATAAAATTCAGATTATATTCAACAAGGTATCCATGCCAACATTTTGAATCTCTTTGAAAATATGGGACAGATTAGAATACGTATGATTATAATTTCTAATTTGTACAGAATCATAAATATATTAAAATTGTATATTTTGACATTTCAATATGATATAATAAATATCGCTTGTGAAATTATTGTGAAATAGTATTCAGATTATTAAAATTAATCTGTTGACAGTTAGATAATTTGAAATAAATGCAACTGTAATTGCAAAATATCGCGTGTCTACATATATCCGTTTCTCTATTCTAGACCGTGCGTAATCCGTTCTGGCACCAGAGAAGTGCATAACAAATTGGAGAAAAATCGAAGGGCGCACCTGAAAGAATGCTTTGAATTGTTGAAGAGACAACTTCCATCACAAGAAGAGAAAAAATCGTCGAACCTTTCGATTCTTCATGCTGCGATCAGGCATATACATGTAAGTTAATAATTCTGTTAATTCTTATTATATTTTTAATAACATTGATAATATTTAACTGCTTTATGTTGTAAAAATCATCTACATACAATTGATTATCATAATTTTGAAATCGAAAAAATATAAACAATTCCGCTTATACGATAAAATTTTTTAATCGTTAAATTTTTTTTTTTTTCTTAAATCATCTCCGTATACGGTATAATTATACCATTAGCAAACTCGATATCATTTGATATATACAAATTTTTTTTAAGCGTATCTATTCATAATTTATTGTAGAATATTTTTTATATCGCTTAAAAAATTAATTTTCTCGCAATATATCAGAAATTTACTTTTTAAATAAATTTATCGAATGAATGCTGTTTGCATATCTAAATATATATGTAGAAGTCGAAAACATTAATCTCGCACACAAAACACTTTGATATCACATAAGGTGTTAATTGTATTCTTTGTGTTATAACAGTTTCGCTGTGCTATAATTATCTCGGATTATCTCGAATTGTCTGATCTAGCATGAAATAAAACTTAACACATGGTAATTTGACACGGAAATGTGTCGTCGTGGCACCTGAATATAAAGATTACGAATTATTTTTCGAATTTGTACACTTCCATTTTAATCATTAATCGTTAATATATTACACCTCGCAAATTATATATCGATTAGTGATATAACGTATTGTAAGAGTAAATACTAATTAGCTATTTAAAGATAATAACTAAGTAATATATAGCCAAAAACCATTTTATATAATAATTTTAATACAGATATATATTTATTCTATATTTAGAATGTGGAAGAAAAATTTTATTTTTTTTACAATCGCAAGCGTATTCTTTCTCATATATCTTTTCCTTTTGCTGCAATTTCGGAAGAGTTGTGAAACTGCATGCGATCATCAAAGAATCACGAATGTGCGTCCTCGCGAAGGTCGACTACACTTCCTCCTTTTCCTTCTTTCGTGATTTCAATTCTGATTCTACCATCAACTGTTTCGCATCTTTCTCGCACTTCTGTTGTCTCTAGTGCCGCTGAATCTGTCTTTGTTGTTTACCATTTGTTTCTATCTTTCTCTCTCCGGTCCGTTTATTTTCTGTATCTCTTTCTCTGTACTCTTTCAGTCTGCGCATGCTTCTCTTTTTGTCTACTTACTGTACGGTCTGTTTGTTTCTTTCCAATGTGAACGGCATACGTATCGTTTTCACTGTAAATACATGCAAACATCGTTGCCGTTGTTTTTCTTTAACCTGATCGCATGCACTTACAGTATATTATTCTACTTTTACATGACAATTTTTTATCCCTTATTTTTTATAGTAAATGTGCATATACATTCTTTCTTCATCTTATCGTTGCTCTATTTGCCGTACAGAGTTGTTTCTAAAGACACGCTGTTCCCCCACCACAGCGTTTCTTGTTGTCTCTTCTATCTCGTGATCCCCACTCCTTGCAAGCCATGTCTCTTATCTCTTGCACTCTGCACTTAACCTCTCCTTTCTTTCCGTATGTATCTTCTATCTCATATTTTCTCTCCGTCTGCGTTTCGTATTTGCAGTTTCTTTTCTCCTTAGATGCTTTCGTATCTTTGTCAGACTAATATTTTCTATGTAATTCTGTTTCAAACCTTGTTTTTCTCACTTTAGATCATCCTTTGCTTCTCCCCACCATGTAAGATGTTCACTTTCTTCGTCTAAGTCACATGTTCGTCTCGTTTCGGCATTCTGTGCAGTTGCGCGTGTGCGTACACGACGCGACGTTCTTCCACGTAGAAGTTCTATCTATATGTATTGGTTCCACGTGACTGTGCGGCCATCGGTGTCATGCCGCATGGCACGTACGGCATATGCTACTATCCGAACTTTTATCGTTCGGCGCCATTGTTGGTGACTTCTCAGTACGAGGCGACGCTCGACGTGTTGAAATTACACGGTGACTTACCATAACGACACGTTCCTGCGTAATTATTTCACCCATAATTCTATTGAATGATCGATTGAATATATCCTTTAAGTAATATTACCGATATAAGCTATTGTCTTAAAATTAAAGTTTTTTTGTTACGTACTATATATTTACGAAATATTACGAATTATTTGCTCATAATAAAAAATCAATAGAAAGAACTATTATTAAGTTTTCGTTTTTTGCAATTGTATTTTTTAGCATTTGCAAAAACATTAATAATTAATAATTAATAATAATTAATAATTAATTCTTAAAAAGAAAAGAAGAACTTATCTTTACATAAAATTTACAATTAGCATAAGAATAAGGCAAATATCGACGCAATAATAATAAGTTTGTCAAACTTTCAAGATCGTTGTTATTTCAGAAATTAGTAGTGATCGGAAAAATTAAATTTCATTATTCTTTTTTATTAAACATTTGAATACCATCGCAAATTTACAGCTAGTGGAAATAATTTCGTTTAATTTTTATTTGTTTTTATTTTTCCTGTAAATAAAAACTCAACTGATAAGCATACTCGAATAGTAACTAAAGTATAATTATTACACGTTAAGTGGTGTGATAAAGAAACATTCCGTTAAAAGTCGATATGTCAGAATAATAAATATTACATAAAAGGATACTCGACATAATGATCGGATAAATGTAAATGTTAAAAAAAAAAGAATGTTGTACACTGAAGATACGAATGAAAGGGATAATATAATCCACTGCTAGTATGAAAATGCCACAAGCTGGTTTAACTTACTCTGTTTTCGTTAGTTCGCGAAAAATCCACCAGTTTCGCGTAGTCTCGAGTTCGATAAAGTTTAATAAAGTACATGTACGAGTTCCGCAACACGACGTGGCAGATATGGGAGATGTAGAAAGAAATGAAAACGCTATTTGCGTATATCCACGAGTCCAATATTGTATGTGCGAATCTTGTTGGAGGCGGTTTACCCACGTGCTTATAGATCGCGCGTGCGCTTATTCATGCAACGGCCTTCGTACTCCTTCCTCTTCACCTCTCTCTATTGTCATTCTCTCTCCTTTTAACTTATACTTCAGTACGCTCATCTATTTCTGTTCTGCGTTTCTCTCTGTCTTTTTCGCAATGTATATGCCCCTCTATTTGCTTGCTCCCCTCTCCTTATCGCTCATATTGTGTTCTTCTATCCTTGTTGGTCATTCTGTCCTTCTTTATCTTATTGTTAGTATCTTAAACCTCTGTCTTTCTCTTGAAGTGAATTCTCCATTTCATTCTTCGTTTATCAGTTTATATATAATGATACTGGTTATATTTTCTGTCTGCGTTCTTTTTGCAAGCGATTGCATCTTTCTTTCCCTCTTGAAGACTTTACCACGTGTATCTATTCAGTGTGTGCCCATAATATTACCACTTATTGTCACGTGCGTTCCTCTTCGAAATTTCTGATGACATCGAATCGAAAATTTAACACATTTTATCGAACAAATGAATCCAAGATTTTTATCTTTTATATACTTTATTTTTTATTCATTGCTATTCTTGAAATTTTTGAATTAATTTTAAACTATATTTTTATTCCATTGATTTTATAATTTTTTCAATCTTAATTTTTAATTTGACTCACTTTTGACATTCAAAATTAAAATCATTAAATTGCGCATTTGCGATATAAAATAAAAGAATACTTTAAAAATTAGAAAAAAAATACTAGATTTCAAATTTGATTTTTACGTAATATTATAACAGTATAAATATATATTGATTAAAAAATTAATTGTAAAGAATTAAATACGAATTACGATGCTAGACTATTTTCAGAATTGAAAGTTGCGTCGCTTCTTTATCGTGATTTCAAACTTCCCACTTTATAAACTTTTTCGGTATCTGTGACGTAAACCGAGCAAATACGAACGCGCACGAAATGTATCAGATTCGAATTTGTACACAGCAGGAATTTCATCCTTGCATATTTTCTTTCTTGTCTTGCTTTGAAGCGCGTGCATCATTTGTTAGGTGTCGATGCTCGTTGTCACGTGCACGTTCCTTCACGCATGTTCGTGCTGACGTCAAACGCAAGGCTTATCGTATTTCGAGGGAGAGGTGTCCTGAATCTGCAGGTGTATCATGTGACGTTCGCTAAGGTATTCTCGAAAGCGATGCGAGAACATTTCTATCAGCTTTCTCTCGTTTTCCTCGCGTGCGCGGCTATTTTTCGAAATAGTCTACATTCGAATGTAAAATAAGAAAAAAAAAAAAAAATAAAAATAATTTTAATTAGAAATGAAACTGCATCATAAATTCTTATTATCAAATTAAACGTTGAAGTTTTTTAGTATCCTCATCGCAACCGTGACGATGAATATATATGAAAATTTATAATTCATTTATTCTTATATCATACAATTTTTTTTTAAATGTAAACAAATTATTTATTCTAATACATTTTTAATAAATGGATTTAATTTTATAATTTTGCATCTTCAACAATTTTAATAGCATATTATATCCCAATATAATTATTATATTATATATTATATATTAAAATATATTCGTGAATAATCAAAATTTGATCGAAAACGTTTACATAATCTCAAGGATTTTTTTGTATTTTATATTCTTTCAATTTCGAAAATTAATTAATTTTTTGTATATTCAGTAAAAAATTAAGAAGTTTTTTTTTTATTAGTTCTCTATAAATTGTCTCGTTTTTTAATTGGAAGGATTTTTTTGCAGATGTTAAAAAGGAAGGAACGTGATTATGAACATGAAATGGAAAGGCTTGCCAGAGAAAAAATTGCTGCTCAACAGAGATTGTTAGCTCTGAAAAAAGAACTTGCTGCTACGTGGGATCATATTGATTTTAATACTCTTTTACCAGAACAGAATTCGGTTGCCGATATAACGGCTACGAGAAGTGGTAAGTTTCCTAACATATGATATAATTTTAATATAATTATTTTCAAAGATTTTTAAAAATGTGTTAAAGAAGAATTCATATATCTATTAAATATTTTAATCAAAAATTAAAAAAAAAGATATTATATACACGATACAATAATAGACAAATTTGAGATAAAATTAATAATGTGAAATAAAAAAAAACATAATAAAATTAGCAAATATTGAAGTAATTATTAAAGTTTCAGAAAACATGGAGGTTGATGTGACTGGACTTGCTCGGGGTGGTACAAGGTATAGTAGTACCAGCAGTCTGAGCAGTGCAGCCACAGTCAGTTCACCACAGACACTTCAAACCAGTACGACTTCCAATATTCACAATCAAGTTGCCACCGCAGCCGTAGTCTGCCAAACGCAAGGAATGAATCTTGCACCAAGTTCTAGGGAAAGTCCACCTGCGAGTTCAAGTCCTGGATCATCTGCACCTAGCATTCCTACTCCAGCACAGGTATATTAAAAATATTTAAGTCTTTAATATAGCAATAGATAGTATAGTATTAAGTGAAAAGAAGGAAATATAAGCGACTGCTGGATTAGGTCAGTCAGCTAAACGCATGGCCAATAATCCACAAGTCCCCGGATCGAATCCCGGTCGAAGTAAAATTTGGGATTGATCAATTTTTCTTCATTTGAAAATGGGGTTAGACTTGTAGAAAATTTTCTTCTGAAAAAGCGCACCGTTTTAAAAATTATTTAGCCCGTTATTTATTCTTGGACATAACGTGTTCTTTAGCGTTGTGTGTGAAACGGTGCAAGAAAAAGAGCGCATAAGGATCGGTTGGAACTAATTTATATAAATATAATTATAAATTAGTTATAATCCAATGCAACATATATATTATTTATTTTTATAAATCAAGAAAAATGTTTTTATATTGCATTTAGAAATTATATAATATTTAATTAAAAAATTTTTTTATCAAATTGTTAGAAAAACTATAGATAAATGACTTTTACTATTATTTTATTATTTCTAAAAAAAACGATTATTTTTTAATTTCTAATTATTTTTAAAAAAAAATTATTATTGTATTCATAAACTTTAATACAATTCTTTTTAATACATTGGTTTTTTGTTATTATTTAAAAAAAAAATTATTTTTTTATTTGTATTTTTTTATGATTACGACAATCATGGGCTGACAAGAAAGTAATTTAGTATCTTTTATTTAAGAATATTTTCAAATATAAGAATAAAAATTATTTTCCTTGTTCAAAAGGTTCAAAGATTAATGTATCTTCGTATAATAACGTATAATAAATTTCCATTTTAGGAGAAAGTTAATACTTCACCAACGGGTATAGTACAGCAGCCGCACCAGCTGCACTTACCGATCAACGCTCAGATATTGAACACGAGTCAAGGTTTACCAACCATCGTCCCAACGCTTCAACACATCGGACCGAGTTTGAGGGTGATACCCGGTGACACAAGGCAACTTCTGGTTACTCACACAGCTGGCAATAACGAGTCCAGGCCGCTCACGTTAGCCGTGCAAAACTCGTCGGATCAATCGAGGCCGCTCATTGCCGTGCAATCGAACACTGGAAGTGAGCCAAGGCCCGTAGCGTTGGTCGTTCACTCGTCCACGGCCAACGACAACAGGGTAACGATCGTGCATTCTAATCTATCCAACAACGACAGGCCGTTGGCCCTAGCCGTGCAGTCGTCCGCCAATGACGTCAGGCCAGTTACATTTGTGCACTCTGCAAACGAGGGAAGGCCGTTAGTTCTTGCTGCGCATTCTCCTGCATTGAATGTGTCGAGTGAGTAACTTAGGACTATCTTGTGCATATAATGTATTTATGAATTTTTTGTGTCATATTGGTGCATGTTCATTAAATTCTCTACAATTAGATTATATATTTTTCTCTATTTTATCAACGTTACTAGTTAGAGAATATAATTTTAGAATTTTATGGAGGAACATGAAGAAGGATATCGTATTATGTAAACTATTATTAATCTTTTAACTGTATTTTGGATAATGTAACATTTATGAATCGGATTGCAGATGCTCAAACAAGGATAAGAGCAGGAGATGCGCAAACCACGCATAAAATGGTTGGTGGTGTGACACTGGTAGGCGGAAATGGGTCAGAGTTGACCAGACTTCCCGGTGGCGCTGAATTAAACATACTCCCTGCAAATGGTAATGCTTTATATTGAATATGTTTTATATTGCCTTCTGTTTGACCAATAAATCATTCGGATTCTGTTTCCTTCAATTGCCACTAGATGGTTCATTTACGATTCCAATTCTCGCAAGTTGTCGCTTCTCTATCCAGTTCCTATAAAAGTAATCATCTTCCATATAATATATACGTGGCACCATGTATCCAAGATCAAATCGTATTATTACGATTTTGTTAATGAATTGGTGCTAGATAAAAACTATTCACTTGCAGAGCGACTCGTTATTCATTTTCATATACGAATTGCTTTGAAGGTGGCTGACAAAAATTCTTTTAATCCTTTGAATGTTGATCGTTATTTTTTTAAAATAGTGGAAATTATCATAAATTATTATAAATTTTTCAATAATTTCATAACATTGTTGATGATTTTTAAATTTTTTCATGATGAAAATAAAATTTATTTTCACAATAATTTAAAGAATGAAATATGTCTTATTGTGCAATTACCTCTATGGGTTGCAGGATTGACGCTGAGCCACACAGGAGTGTCGCTTCAAACCACAACAGGTAAACCAGGTTCGACAGTGATGCAAAACGCTCCGTCCACAGAGGGTATAGCTCACATTGTTGGTCCGCACACACCCCTTTCCGGTTTGACACCAATTGTCACGCCGATGACCGTTGTTTCGCAAGGAAATCAAGTGACTGCTCATATCCTAGCCCCCTCCAGCCTTGCGGGCAAAATGATAACCACCCCAATTTTAAAATCTGTGGCACAAATGCCGATCGTGAACGCTCAGTATATCAATACAACCACGCTGGTGAAGCCTGTTGTTGTCGTGAGTTCACCGTCAACATCTACACCACAGTCGACGACAGCTTCCAGTACACAACCTTCCTCGACCACACATTCGACCGTCTGACAGAATCAAAAGAAAGTGAAACTAGCTTGAGAAATGGCTAGAGTTCTGTGTATCGAAGCACGAAATTGCGGAGATTACGGAATATCGGTACAGATGTCCATGTTTTGTTATTATTTAACGCGCCTCGCGTGTATAGGATCAACGACTATACACGATCGATACAATTGTGTGTTGATAATGGAAGATAAGATATAAAAATGGCAGATCGAATTAGCAGGAATACGGAAGAGGTGTGAATTCTGCCCGTCATGCTATTCCCGACATCGAAGGAGAATTTCTTATTTTTTAAAACTTCAATTGCGTTCCTTCGTGTTTTGAATTTTGAATGTTTATGCTCTTTCAGGGAGCGAGACGACTGAATTATATGTAAAGGTGTTAAAAATGCCGTTGCTCAACTCGTGCGATTGTGCATAGTACCCCGAATGTTTTAGAGAAGTACTTATCGGAGGCAAAGTCCGATTGGAAATTGAACAGACGCAAGCGTCATAAAAATTAATATACAATAAGGCAGCTTCGAATGAAAATAATTTTCTTCGCTTTGTTCGGACGATAAGGAAGGAACCACATTGACGATGAAATTTTCTCAATGTGAGCATTTAATTATTTATTGTAAATTCAAAATTTCGGTGGTTTATTTGATGAATTATTTTTATTTTATTTTTCTTCTTTTTTTTTTTTTTTTTTTCTTCCCATTCATTCAACAAACTCCCGGGAAATAGAATGATCTTACGATTGATCGTGTTATACATATATCTGTCAAAAGATTTCTTTCAGGAATTATTTTAGATTATATATCGTATCGTGTATATTTTGAATGAATTCTATTGACAGATGGAACCATTTGGACTCGTAATACTGGAATATTGTTTTGCATGATTTTTAAATCGCTTGACCGCAGAGATTTATATTTGTTTTTTTTTTTTTTTTTTTTTTTTTGTATCTTATTGATGAAGTTCAGCAAAGAAGAAGCTAAACGACTGTGTTTAGATAGAATGATGTTCAATTAATGAATTGTATGATATATAAGATTTGTTTAAATGTTTGAAATTGATCGAAATCTTGAAATTGGATGGATGATAAATATGCTTGTGCTTTTAAATTAATCATATATATTAAATAGTGGCTGTGGAGAAACGATAATCGTTTACGCCTATAATTTACTTTCGGATATTAGATGATAAATTGAATTTTCCATTGCGTGGAATATGCATATTTTTCGTTTTTCTTTTTTCTACGTACGTAGACTGTGCTCAAGTATTTATTCGTTTCTATTTATTTTACAAAATGCAACAATGAGCATAAGCAAAACTTTTGTCTTGGCTTCGTGATTTTGATATTTTTATCTGATTTTCAAAAGAGCATTCATTTGTGATTCTTTTTTTTTTTTTTTTTTTTTCGGTTGTTGTGAAGAGCCAAACGAAAGAAAAAGAAAGAAACGAAATAAGGGAAAATGTTACATAAAAGTGAGCGACCCGCAAAGCACTTATACACCCTGTGGACGTTGGATTAATTGTAATCTAAAAATAATAATTATTATTACTTTACACAGGAAATCTTTTCAATTTTGTATATCTTATCATATATATAAATAATTGCATATATTTTCAATAAGTTTCAATAATTATTTTATTCTATAAAATAGCCCGTATAGAAATGGCAAACAAATAAATATACTTCTCTCCATCTCTCTAAAATTGTCTCCAACAAATTGTGCTAGCCAAAGAATTCTGTATTAAAAATAAGAAAAATTATTATGATTCCAATGTTATAATTTGGATTAGATAAAAAAGGTATGAATGGATTTTTCTTTAGTTGATCCGGCGTCCACTAGGCGAGGGTTAATTATATAGTATTCTTGTTTCTGAAAAAAAAAAAAAAAANAAAAAAAAATAGTGTATATACATGAATTCAAATCGCAGATATTATATTTTGCATAATATTTTTCTGCAAGTGTTCAGACGAACGAACGGGATAGAAGAGAGGAAAGCTTCTGATTCGCGTTGCAAGAGGAAACCGGAATTATTGTATACGTACATATTATTATCGTACTATTTTAAATTAATTTTTCTATGCGTAGTGAAGTAAAAAAAAAAAAAAAAAGAAAAAAGAAAAAAATAAGTGATTTATGTTTCATCTTGCAATATTAAGCTTTTTGAGCTTTCATTCGATATACTCGATACGAGACCGTTAATAGTGGTTTATTCAGTGTGAACAAAATACCGTGCTGTTTGTAATTACATCTTCAAATCATTTTTATGAATGATTGTTTCACAATTCTACAACTCGTCGTTTCATCGAAATTTCTTTTTAATATTTGAAACTTGTCAAATTATCTTGTTGCGGAAGGTATCAAAAATATTTAATCTCTATCTGAGATGATTGCAAATTTATTTTCTTCCGTTCGTTTTACACATTCTTGCATAAATTTACTTTTGTGAAATGCGAATAATTTCTTTTTTTTTTTTAAATTTTCTGCAAAAAAATTGAAAGAAATTTTTTATTACTAAGACAATGAACAAAAAAAAAAAAAATAAGTTTCAAATTCGAGAACGACGCGCGCAAGAGTCATGTGTTTGAAAGCGTTGCAATTGGAATTTTTATACGTATGTGTGGGAATATGTGTATGTATGCATGTGACTGTTAACGGTCTCTTTCAGAATTTGTACATTAGTATTATTATTAACTTGTATTTGCGTATACAGACACACACATATATATATATATATGTGTGTGTATATTATATCTTTTGTTTTTTTTTTTTTTTTTTTTTTTTTAAATTATTTAATCAAAGGCTTTTTTTTTGGTCAGTTTAAATGCTGATTATGTATGTAATACGCGTGGGCGTTGTGTCTCCTTGCGGAAATTCGTCGAAGGATTTATTAAGTTATTGTTTAGCGGAGGGGATAATTATTTTCAAGAGAGGGATTAGGACGTCTAGGACTTCGTGAATTGTTATCCTATTTTTTTTTTTTTTTTTTTTTAGAAACGTTGGAAACGTCACCAAATATTTGCTTTAACGCGTTCATTATACATTAACGAATTTTAAGCTATACGAAATTAGACTATGTGGCTATAATTATAATTATAGTATCACTATATTATACTATATAATATTATATATAATAATAATTGTAGCATAGTTATAATATATATATATACATATATACATACATACATATTTTCACAAGTATGGAAAAGTATGGAAAATGGAAAATGATTTTTTTTTTTTTTTTGAATGATAACTCGTACTACGTTTTGAGTGATACTTTAATCGTACTATTCTACTTTGTCTTAATTACAAGTGACAATATTTGATTATCTTAATTATCAAGTTATTATTTGAAAAATAATTATTTTAACCCATTGCAACATATTGTTACTTAATGAACGCGTTAAACGAAAGAAAAAATATAGAAATATAGCTGCACTTCGGAATTGTTTCGATGAAGTACTGTTTGTGAAATAACTATAATAGTTATATCAATTAAACACTACTAAATTAGTAGAGTTTATTAATAACATTAATCAATTAATGGTATTTCGACTCGCGCGAGATTCGATTTACTGTTCGGCCAATTAATCGATCTTCATCGTCCCTTGAATATTCAGGGGGGAGGGGGGGGGGGGGGAGGTTATGAAAATTTGGTTCACAAGATTAGTTAAAATAGTACTTTATTGCAACAACTGTTTAATTGGAGAAGAATTTTAATATTCTTCTCTGCATCGCACATTCTTCTGTTCGCCATTTTCTTTTCAGTATTATGACGTCCAATGGTCACGGTGACTTTTTCATGTTTCAATGAAAGTGTAGAGTTTCGAATGAATTTGCCAGATTTTATATTGTTATTAAATTGTCGCTTTGCTTTCGATTTCGAATTCATTGAACGCTTTAATTTTGGTGATTTTAAACGAAAATGGAATAACAGAGATAATTCTCGTGATGACACACGTAACAAAAAAAAAAAAAAAAAAAAAAAAAGAAAAAAGAAAAGAAAAGAAAGAAATCGCTCGAGAACATAGAATTTGGCGCATACACTAGTCATTTTTCGTTCCCTCCTTGTTGGATGGAACCGTTTCTCCGCTGAGCTTTCCAATTACAATTCGTACGACACGTTTAATCTTTTTTTTTTTTTTTTTTTCTTTTCTTTTCTTTTTTTTGTATCTTTTAAATCCAACATGAGGTGAAGCGTGCAATGGATTACTTGTAGATGTTGGGGGCATTCTTAACACATTACGCAGAATAAACCAGCAACAGACGAAGGCGCAGACGTTATTAGTTATCGGTTCCTTCGCTGAATGCAAGGCGAAAAATATCATATTTACCTTATGTTTGTAAAAAAAAAAAAAAAAAAAAGAAAAAGAAAAGAAAAAAGAAAAAGAAGAAAAAAAATTGATTTTTAAATTAAAATACAATGAAATACATGGATACGATAAAGTAGAATTGTAACACTAGAATTATAAAAAAAAAAAACCCTTCAAAATGATGATGGGTTTAAAATATTTTATTTTTATAATTATTTTTATTGCCCAGACATAAATTATATAGAAAGTAAGCCCGAAAATTAACTAAGGACTAAATTTTTTTTATATTTAATATAGAAAAACGAAGATGTTCGAAAGAATTAATTTTTTACTTTTATTGTGATAGAAATGAAATTGTAAATAATGTTTATTTTTCATTACTTATGTATACAATGATAAAATCAAGATTTTCACATCAAACGGAACAATTCCTTCATAAAATGAAGGAATTTTTGTTGTCTTTATGTTTTTATTTTTTTTTTTTTTTTTTTTTTTTTTTTTTCATTTTTCTATGTTACTTAAATATATTGTCATTTATAATATATTATATATATTATATTATAACAATATTATATATTATATTATATATATATTATGTTATATTATATATATAATATTATATATTATATATTATATTATTTATGGTATATCACATATGAGTATATTCAGTGTTGTTCTAGTGTTAAATAACAATTTAATAAAAAAGGAATAAATTGATAAAAATAATTTGAAAAAAAAAAGAGAAAGAAAATTTCAAAAAGGTTATACTCACCTTGCATTTAGTGAAGAAGGGACAAAGACAAAGTTGATGGCAAGTTAAATCAAAGTCGGATATTTGCTGTTGAATAACAATCGCGAATGAAAGTGAATACAGAGAGAGAGAGAGAGAGAGAAAAGAAGGAGAGAAAATATGCAAACGATAAAAATATCCGTTTTGTACATAAATAAAGGAAAAAAATTAAAAAAAAAAAAAGTTAAAAAAAAAGAAAAGAAAAAATAAAAGAAATCTCGTCGATCGACGGGGAGAGAGAAAGTAGAAAATGAAATAAACGTGCGGGAAATCTATGTGTACATGAACAATGTGATATAAGTAATTAATAAAAAAAAAAAAATTACTTAGCACTATAGCGTTTAAGCAGAAACAAAATGGAAAAAAAAGAAAAATGTTAAACCGTTTACAACGTAGATGTATGATTGCTAACTATTATTTACTAACATCCTAAAAAAAAAAAAAAAAAAAAATGAACCGTAAAGGGAGTCTAATTGTACATAGAGTAAAATGCGAGAGTGAGAGGGAATGAGAGATAAAATAGAAGGAAAAAAATAAAAGAAAAATCATGAGAATATATAATTATATTGATTATTGAGAGTCAAAAGAATGCAGAAACGGAATGAAATAACATAAAATATAGCAGAAAAGAAAATGTAAGAGTGAGAGTGAGAGAGAGAGAGAGAGAGAGAAGGAGGAGAGG